CGGCATTCGGTCCTACACCAAGGCTTGAGTTTAGGATCGATTTGGGAACCAGGTTAATAAGATTGATTGTGTGTAATGGTCACAGTTCTTCTGCTTTGATCTCTACCTGTCTTAGAAGACATATCAGACACCTCCATTTATGTATGTCCTCGTTTTCAGTGGAAGTAATGTAACCTGAAAATGACAGGCTTTTGGTTCTCAATCATCTTTATCTTTTGTTGGTCGTATATCAACCAAAAGCCCGTTTTCAGGAAGGGGCCAACATGACAATGGGAGAAACATCACTCACATTTTGAAGGCTTTTGTCTTGTAGTCACTCAAGCAATACAGAAGAACAAGAAAACAAAAGAGAAATGGAAAAGAAGAAGAAAGCAACCCTTCGCTAATCAGTGCTTGCACAAGTCCTCTCGATCACCTTTGAATCTGTTCTGAAAGACTGCTTCGATGGAGAACTCGATCCTCTCGAAGAGCTATGCCCAAAGAAGGTTAGTTTCCCGATTTTCTTCGAGAAGGAGCTCATGAACTTGCGTGAATGAGACCTCTGCATATCCCTCTTCATGCAAATATGTTCCTTCTCTAGATCATTGAGCCTCATTCTCAACCTGGCTAACTCAAGCTTCAGTTCCCGGTTTTCTCGCCTCAGAGATGCATAGTTATCTTTAGGTGACATCGCCGCACTGAGGGCTCCACTGTTGATCCGCCATGACTGGTTCTGCTTCGGCTTAGGCTCTTCGTCTGAGTAAGAAGAGCACAACGAGCTTCTTAGCCTCAGTTGCTCAAAGTAAAGGACTTGGACTATGGACTGAAGAGGAAGCCTCTCGTTCTGTGCAGCGTGTGCTCCAGCTTCTTGCGACAACTTCTGGAAGTCTATGAGTTTCGAAAGCTTCTTCTTGTCTGAATCTGATAACCCTTGATGCGCCTGCGAGCATAAACAGAGCCATCAGTCTCAGAAACAGACAATCAACAAAACACACACACACACACGCTTGTTGTCTTGGGTTTTTTTCCAATGATATCAGAGACCTCCCTTGTTAACAAGAACGAAACTTTCCGCACTTTCCGACATTATTCCACATCGAAATGAAAAGGGTTATCTCCAAAACGAGAAAAATTCGAGCAGCAAATCAATGGCACGATATAAAGCCATCACGAAGAAGAGCGCGAGAAGAAAATACCTTAAGGTATACATCAATGGCACGATATAAGCCATCATGGAGCGTGCGAGCATGAACTGGTAAGGCTTCTGCAATAAGCATGAACTTGGACAGCTTAAGGTTAGCATCAGGAGCGATCTCGGCCAGATAATTATCGACTAACTTCGCCACTTTGAACAATGCACTCTGCGAAGGAGAACGAGGGCTTTCACATTCAAACACCGAAGCATCGTCCATCTCATCATCACTATCTCCTCCTCCTTGCTGTGAAAAGTTCACCAAGATCCTGTGAACTGTGTCGATATCGAACAAAGTGTCGTCGCTGTGACGGAACGAAGGGATCAAGAGGTCGTCGAGAGTTGCCATATCGAGCTGAGACGCGATCCTTCTCTCTAGATCGAGCCTGCAAGAAACCGAGCAGTCAACCATCACTGCCCTTCTCAGTAACCCGAAGAGGAAACTTATGGGAACCACAAGTCTCTCTACGGGCAAAAGGCTGACAATTGTCTCAACGACAGTCTGTTCATGTTCATGTCCATGTCCTGCCTCGGACTTTGTCTGATCAGACGAGGAGCTCCAAAAGCTCGATTTCTTGGTCAGCTCTTTCTGCGCATAGCTCACCAAGGAAGCTCCGATACTCTCGGGGCGAACTCCACGGCATTTCATCGCGGTTATGACCCTCTGATACAAATCGATCCTAAGAACGGAGAGATCTTCGATCCACCAATCCCCTTCACTCTTGGCTTGCCTGCTCATATGAAGCCTTCCCGAGCTGCTGTACTCTAAACGGGAAAAGCTCGAGGCGATTTGCTCGGCACAAGCCTTGGAAGCTATTGAATCGATACATCTACTGACAATCTTCAGTTCATCGGCCAGAGGGAGGAGGCTTTCGCACTGTTGAAGGACTTGAACACACATTTCAAGATTCTTACAGACAATGCTCTCTAGATACTCCTCTGCTCTCGAAGCCAAGTTGTCTTTGGAGTAATCTTCTGTCATCTCGAGGTAATCCGAGACACAACAGAGCTGTGCAACGTTCGAGGACGTGATCTCAAAGTTGATTCCGTAGCAGAACTTGGCCGCCATTTCGAAAGTCTCGGCCCCTCCGGGGAGGTTGAGAAGCTCGACCTTGGAGATATCTGCATCTCTGTGTTCTGCAATAATCTTCCTGATTCTTCCACTTCGAGACACTAATGGGAACTGAATCAAGAATTTGGTTCAGAAATTCTGTAGATCCAAAGTAAAGACGAGAGTTTTTTCTAGTTACCTTATGCAGAGCAAAGGTTCCACTGTTTACGTCTATGGTTATGTCACTTGGAACATCTCGAAAGATCCTGAAACATGGGAAGAAGAAACATCAATGGGGAGAAGTACCCATTTCTGAAAGTGTGTGTAAGAAAAACACTAAAGAACCAGAAACGGGTCACTGAAGAGATTGAACAAGAAGAACATGACACTGGCCAAACAGATTATGAATTGGATTGTTAAAGTACATTTTCTGCAATTCAAAGCGAAGGGCGAGAGACTGGTCCGACGGAAAACGATACAGAAAGTTGCTGGAAGCAGAGAAGGGTAAGAATCTTTGAGCTTGAATATCGGATACAACGATAAAATCAAGAGAGTTCAAGTGAATTGCGACAAAGAAGAAGAAGACAAACCATTCACTGCAACTTTGTCGGGAAGATTTGGCCAAAGACAGTTGCTGCTGCAGCTGCTGGTGATGATGATGATGATGATTATGATGATGGAGAAGCAGGTGCTGTTGATGCTTTTCCATGAAGAGAATACGCTCAAGAACAAGAAAGAGAAGAGAAGTAGGAAAAGACAGAGGAGACACCAGGGAGAAAACTAATAACAAGAAACAAGAAACAAGAACAAGAAGAAGAAAAACAGCATCATGGTGGACAGGAACACAAGTGGAGGAGTAGTTTGGTCCTGCCTAGGCTTTGCCTTTGCCTTTGCCTTGGCCATTTCCATAACCAAAGACAGATACAGGTGCTCATAACCCCATCAATCACACACAAGTCTTTTTGCAATTTTGTCCAAAACCCCTGTCCCGTTTGGGGGGTCCTTCCGCCCTCCTCTTGTCCCTCCAAATTCTTCTCCTTTTTCACCCCTTATTTTTTGTTTGGTAATTTCAAGATCGGATCTTTCTCAAGGAACAGTGAAAATTCACTCCAATGTACAAATCAAAAATCTGACTAATGGTTAAAATGATTTGGAGATATGGGTCGGTTGCTAACTGGTTTACCATGGTGGTTTGGAGGATCTAGAGAAGGTAAAGTTGAGAACTTTTTTTTTTTTTTTTGGTGGGGATGGCAAAAGTTGAAAACTTTATTATATGTTTAAATAACAGAAGGAAAATATGTGTGAACAAAAAAAAAAGATGGAAAATTTGAGTGAGAGAGAAAGTGGGTGTATGTTTTGGTTACAGAATATGAAATTAAACTGAATTGAATTGTATAACATTTAATTGTATTTAAAATGAATTTGATGGAAAATTCATTGGTTATAAATTTTTAATAAAAGTGTTTTAAATAAAAACTAAATCAAATGCAAAACCAAATAAGATTCTTATTTACAAAAATAAAAAAATGAAATAAAAACCATCAGTGTTGTTTTATTGAACAAGGGGGAATTAAAATTTAAAATCTCAAATTAAAAATAAATAAGTTAAAATATAAAACGAGTTTTGAAAGCGGGGAAAGTGGGAAAAGAAGAAACGAAAAGAGGGAAATAAAATGAGTGTTGTTTTTAGACATTTTGTAACATTCTTAAAAGCCCTTTTTCTCAATTACTTTTGTCTCTTCTCATCTTTATTTATTTCTTTTTGTTTTTGTTTAAAAATCTATCCCACTATCCCCTTTTGCATGCATAATTTTTTTTAACATTCAACATATTTTATTTGTCAATTTTTTTTAATCACAAGATGTATATTATATGATTCATAAAAAATATATTATATAGTTTCCACGAAAACGATGCGCGAGACCATGATAATCATTTAATCTTATTGCAGCTGTACCAGTACTCAACAATTTCTACAAAAACACACAAGTAATTTAGTTTTTAGCTTATACGATTATTTTACGATTGTATTCATCAATTTTTTTTGTATAACAATATCAAAAATAGTTGATCTATTTCATATATATTTTGGATATGAAAACATTAATTCATTTTTAATTTATTTGACAAATTTGTATATATATATATATATATATATATATATATATTTGTCTACGGTGCATGCATATGTCGTCCCTCGGAAGGATCGTGATTCGTGAACAATGTTTTGCTTTGAATGAAGCAGATTCACATAACTATCAAATCCAAATTAACACACATGATTCACATATTAAAATGACAAATATATATATATATATATATATATATATCACATCTGAACCACCTCGTGGGCCATTATTCATGCAAGTTTTTTTTTTTTTTTTGATAACCGAGAGGTTCACCTGGGCCTTCGGCCCAACCTACATCCCCTCAGGCCCGGTGACAGGGGCCCAGAGAGCAATACCCTCCCAACCGAGAAAACACCCCCTCCCTCCCCAGCAGCTGGATTCGAACTGGTGACCGGTATTCATGCAAGTTTCGTTTTAGATTTTTCATATTAATGTAATTGATTATTACTTTGTTGGTTTATATCATTAGCATGGAAATAAGCAATTTATCATAGCAAGTAAATATCAATGATGTAGTGAAAACTCTTTTCTTTTTCTTTGTTTTTTCAAAAATCAAAAAACATTTTCCATAAAAATAAATGTTATATTTTCCATTCCTTGGGTATAAAATATTATAATTGATAATTTAAAATGAAAATGATTATGCCTTTGTGTTATTAATCTAGTTAATCATATGATTATGTCCCTTGATATACCCTTCCGAATAATACAACTATTTTCCCGGTTTGTCCGGAAGATTAGAAATCACAGTAAATGAAAAAAATACATTTGGTTTAAAAAAAGATGAAAACTATATTTTAGTATTCAAAATTTTCAACCTTATTTTAACACTAATATTTTAAAAAAAATCTCATTCTAATTTATCGATTTTCATCCTGGCGTCATATTTATTATTTCATACCTCGACTCATCTAGAGTCAGGGTTAGGGTGGTTATATATATATATATATATATATATATATATATATATATATATATATAATGTGTAAACAGTCTTCTTCTTCTTCTTTTTTCAAAACCTTTAAATATTTTGGTGTCTATCTATAAAATCGTTCTCTTTTACCTAATAAAGAAGATTTGAAACAATTAAAAGTAGACTTTTGCAACTTTTTGTTTCTATTTAGATGATTCCATCTTTATATTTCTCTTTTTTTTTAGTTTTTTTTTAACTAAAATATAGAATATGTGTTTATATAAATGAAAAAAAACATTAGGAATATGAGGAACTCTCCACACAAAAAATCTATATATATATATATATATATATGATAAAGGAATGTAGAATTATCTCTCTCTCTCTCTATATATATATATGATAAATGGATATCTTAACTTACAACCCATGAAAGTTTATGTTACTTGTTAAAAAAACAAATATATATATATATATATATATATATATGTACTGTTAAAAAGATAATGGAATGTAAAATTTAGCCCATGTCAAGATGGTTTATCAGTCAATAATACTCATCTATCATATCTTTTTAAAATTGCCCCAAAACCCTATACAGCTGTTATTTATGCCATTTTTTTTTCAAACATTGCATTTTTCTTTTCTTTTTTTTTTTTGTCAAAGAGATTTCATTTTTCTTCGTCTAGTAATATGACCATTGCATAAAAAATAAAATATTATTTTTGAATTTTAATGTGCTATAAATATGAAAATTGCACAAAAACAATAATTTAAACGTTCCACATATTTCTAAACATTTATCTCGTGCACGATTTTGAGTTGCTTGACGGCAAAATTTATGAAACTACAGAACTTTTTATTTACAAAGTGGATGCACCTATATGTATGCGTAATGAAAAAAAAAACACATTAAAAGAAACAATAATATTCCATATAATATATGATTGTCTACCTTATGGTGGGTCCAAATAGGGTTAATTAAAAGGTGGGCCCAATGGGCCAGTAGGTGCATAATACACAATATAATTAAAAAGCTAAGGTGTGGAGAAGATGATGACGACCACCACCATTCCTTTAGGGTTAATTTGCATTTTTTTTTATTTTTTGCAAATGAATAGATACAAACAAAAACATTGTTTTGGAGTACAACTAGTCAAATGTTTTCATAAGCCAATGTTTTGGCAACTTGGCGTTTGCATCTATAATCAAAGTGTATTGGGTCATGTCATATAGGACATTGAGCATGTTACATGTATATATATATATATGGTGAGCATTATTCATAACCATTAAAATTTTAAATATTTTTTTTATCGTTTATTATACAAATATTTGGTTGCAAAATTGGGGAAAATAAATGTGAATCTTAGAACATTCTAAAAGTTTAACAAATTATAATTCAAAATTATATTTTTTTATAAGACTATTATGTGCATTTCTCACAAGTTTTGGAGACTGTATTGTAACTAATTAGGTGTTTAATGGTGCTACACACGTTTATATCCTTCGATGCCCTCTAATTATCTTTAAATTTCAGAGCAATTTCGAAAACTAAATCATTTTATCACACATGTTATCAAATATAGGGAATGTAAATTCCATATATATATATAATAGTAATACGATATTAGTTTAAGAGTATGTATTATAATAATTTGGATTCTTTTCATTTTAGAAATAGATTAAAAAATCTATTAGTTTTAAGATGAGATACGTCATTTTGTGTAGAATCGTATTAATATGAATATCCGAGATTACTGATGTATACAATATAATTATGAGAAAGGAATATTTTATTGAGAAAATAATATATTCAGGAAAAAGAAGTAGAAAATATAATTAGATTAGGTCAACTTTGGAAAATACAATAAAATATTATAATAGAAAAAGACATGAAAAAGAATACCTTTTATTTTATATATATATTTATTTATTTTAAGTTTTAACAATCAATCCGTCTGATCGCACGCGCTTTGATTGCTTTGTGTCGTACATTTTAACGATTTATAGTGTCATTATGTCGTTTTCTGGTCTCCCCTGCTTTTTTATTTATCCTAATTTTTTGTTTTCTCGTGATGTGAAGCATTAAACAATAAAGCATCCGAGGTGAAAAACACACACAAGTTTAAATTAGGGAAAAGATATTCAACTTTTATATTATTTCGATTTTTAATACTTTAAATTCCCGGATGTGGGATTATAAACACTCCGTCATGTTCATGTATGCGGGGAAGGAGAATAGCAACAAGTAAGGAGTCTCTTATCCAATATCAGGTTATTTTCATTACGTCTATGTGCATTATCGCTCTATATTTACTTGACGCCAAACTAGCTGATAATGTCTTAACACTTTTTTGTGTGAGATAAGATGCTGATAATGAATGAATACGACACTTGTTTTTCAGCTAGCTAAGATACTCTTTCTCTGTTGGCTGCAAGTGGGCCTAAAATTTTGGATTTTGCACTCATGTTTATGTTTTGCTTCTCAGGTTGTAGCTCAAACTATTAAGTCTTGTCTGGATAAGCTGCCCGGTTACCCCAGAACTCAAATTGGATTTATTACGTATGACAGTACAATACAATTTTATAACATGAAGGTAAGGGGCTTGTGAATATATAGAAATTTTGTTCTGACACACTAAATCTTCCATCCTGCATAATTTGTGGACCTTGCCTTTGCAGTCTTCTCTGAGCCAGCCACAAATGATGGTGGTTTCTGATCTAGATGATATATTTGTCCCATTACCGGATGATCTCCTTGTCAATCTATCCGAATCAAGAAGTGTAGTGGAAGCGTTTTTGGAGAGTCTGCCTTCGATGTTTCAAGATAACATTAACGTGGAATCTGCTTTTGGTGATCCGAACACGTAAATCTCGTGTGTCTTTCTTTAGTTTTCTGTTCATCTTGATCTGAAGTTTGGTTTTGGTTTCGAACGAAGAATCGGAGAGTTCTGTCGGCATTGGCTTCACAATTGGTATCAAGAGCCCGGTTCGATCCGGGGAGAGATTGTCGCTGGTGAAGGATCTTCGGCAGTAGATCGAGGTTCCAGAGCTCAATCGAAGGCTCAGGTGGAAAACTGGGATAGTTTCTGGCTGAGGGAAAGGGGAAAGAACCAGAAAAGGATCAGACTCCTAAAGTCGAGAAATCGAGGTAAAATGTCGACGGTTGTAAAGCTTGACGTTGAAAAATACGAT